TATGATGAATAATGACTAGACATACGAATAGCACTTATGTCAGCTACAGAACATGTGAGGTACAGCTAAAAGATGTAAAAGATGCAAAAACTAAAAAAGTAACTAACAAAAACTAAAAAAAGGAACTAACAAAAACTAAAAAAAGAAACTAACAAAAACTAAAAAAAGGAACTAACAAAAACGAAAAAAGTAACTAACAAAAACTAAAAAAAGGAACTAACGAAAACTAAAAAAAGGAACTAACAAAAACGAAAAAAAGTGATGCAACAAAGAAAAGAATTACAAGTTCAAATCCACTTAGGAAGGAAGGAAAGACGTTTGCACAAGCTGAATCATAAGTACAACCAAACAGAAAAACTACAAGTACAAATAATAATATGCTGGCAATTTAAATGGCTAGATTTGATATGTTAGTGCTTGGGGTAAGTGCATAATAAACAATCTTGCAGAGAGAATAACAAAACTTGAGAGAGGTATCAACATAGCTACAAACTAACAAAAATTAATAGAAAACCCATTAGAAATAACTACATGGAATACTAATGGCAGACTCAAGAGAAAAATTAACTAGAAGCATTGCTTAATCTACAAAAAATATATGGTGTCTAATATTTGAGACGCCCCTAATCACACAAATGTACATAAAAATATGAGGCTATGAGACACTGTCCACCCTTTAGCAAGACGCGGAAGTGCTGCAATTATTATAGAAAACAAAAAACATTATGAACAATCAAAATATCAAACCGAACCAGTTTAAGCAACCATAATAGTAATTACAAGTGGGAAAAACAATTTCACTGTCTCAGCAGAATATTCATCATCTTGACATAGAATTGATACAGATCATTATATTAACACGAAGCAGCTAGCTACTGAATATTATTCTACCGGAAAACCCACATATTGGCTAACAGACCCAAATAAAATACCAGATTTGTTAGACTTCCTCATTACTAAAAATATAATGCATAATTATATAAAATAGAGGAATAATTTGATCTTACATCTGATCACTCCCCAGTAATAATGTCATTAAGTAAACATATATAGCTGAAGAGTAATGTAATCCAACTATAAACGACAAGCTAAAAATTGGAAGCATTTCTAGAGCGAATTAAGTGACAGAATAAAACTTAACGTTCCGTTGAAAATAATATAATAATTAGAACAACTACAAACAGAAGTAGGAAAATTTGTATTCAACTAAAAAGGGAGGCACAAGGATTAAATAATGAATCTTTTAATTCATATCTATGTGAACTAACAAACTACAAAAATAATTACTACTAGCTTTGGACAGCAACAAAAAAATTGTAGAGACCAATCAAATAAAGCTGAACTTTTTGTAGAACAGCTGATGAATCAGAAATAGAAAATGATTTAGAGGAAACAACATCAATAGAAGATAAAGTGCAGATGGAGCTTGTTACCCCGAAAGACGTTACTAGAGAAATAAAAATAACAGGCTTCTGGCTTCACCAACTGTGAAGTAGGAAGTCTGTTTGGCGCAGAGGTGGTTAAATCAGAATAAGGGTTGCTCAGGCGCCAATTTTAACAACGCCGTTTGCTTTGCTACCCTGTAGTACACCAAAGTGTACTGCTCAAAGTAGACTCAGTAGAGTTAAAATACCTCCATGCGGTCACCGCTAATGGGGTAGCCACTAAATTATAAAAAAAGCATATATTCTACCTCACACCTTGTACCCTTCGGTACTCTGAAATAAAGCGGTTGAGAGCCGGTCACAAAAGAAAAGAAACACAAGGATTATTAACAAAATATATTTACAAAAATAAAAAATAAAAATACTCTAAAACCCGGGATACAGTCTTCGGTAACTCCGGCACTCCGGGTATGATAGAAAATGAATTTCCACTTAAGCAATGCTTTATGAAAAAGAACTAAAGTTAAACAATAAAAAGAAAATATGAACTAATTAAAACGGCTAAATCGGCACCCCCGGTATATTAGAAAATAATTTTCCTATCAAATAAATTATTTAAATACAATAGTTAAACAATAAAAAAGAAAATATGAAATAACTAAAACGGAAATTACGGCACTCCCTGTATAATAGAAAATAACTTTTCTATCAAATAAATTATTTAAATACAATAGTTATTAAATAAAAAGAAAATATAAAATAAAATAACTAAAACAGCATTTACGGCGTTCCCTGTTTAATAGAAAATAACTTTTTTTATCAAATAAATTATTTAAATACAATAGGTACATAAAAAGAAAATATGAAATAACTAAAACGGTAATAATGGCGCTCCCTGTATAATAAAAAATAACTTTTCTATCAAATAAATTATTTAAATACAATAGTTAAATAGTAGAAAGAAACTATGAAATAACTAAAATTGTAATTATTATTAATTCGGTAAGGAATAAATTAAACGCTTATTTCAACACTCCCCGTATAATAGAAAATATGAATCGTTCACCTAGACCGCAGGTTGCTAGACAAAAAAAAAGAAAAAGAATGTATACAGCTGATTAGCGGCCTTCGTATGCTAGCAACGATAAGGTGATACGAAATGAGAGATTTTAAACAAAATTCTTTGGATTTCTGCTTTGGTGAATTTTCTTCTTCGAAGCAAATTTGGGAGGTCGATTTTGGGAGATTCGACAAGATTATTTCGCGATAATTTTTGATAAACTCGTGGGCAATAGGTACTAGGTAAATTGCGGATTGGCGAAATTCCCTGGTGGTACAAACTGGGAGGACCATAGTTAGTTCGACTTTGGGAGGTTCGACAAAATTGTTTCACGATAATTTTTTAATAACTTTAATAGTACTAGTTAAATTAAAGACCAGCGGGGAAAACAAAGCAAGAAAATTTATTCAAGAATACTAAAAGGAAACCTACCTCTCCTTTGAGTACTGTCGCCTATGGAAAAAAATACGGTTCGGGTTTGATATCACGTTTTACTACGATAAGCGGCGGTACTACTAGAAGCGTCGGAGGACAGGAACTAAAGAGCTTACGGTGGTCAGTTGTTTCGATTTTCGTATTTATGTCTCACCAGCACTGCAACTCTGTGTCATGTTGCTTGCGACATGTAGCTTCGTATATTTCATTGCGACTTTCACTACCACACGTCGTTATTTTGGTACTCTGTGTCACCGTCGCAGTTACTTCGGCTATTTTCGAGAATATATTAGCCAATCCAAAAAAATTGACTCTTATTTTTTTAATATTGGTAACAATTTAGGTGGGTTCGCATTGTCATATTCTGCCTGAAAGGTGAATTGTGATTGGTTATTCGTTTTCTTAATATACAAAATTACCCAATTATAATACAAACATCGCAGAATTGAATTATATTGAAATGGCGCTTTAAGCTGTTATATTGTGTTGTGTTGTGATCATAATTTTTGGATTTATTTTGTTGTGTTAAAAAGTTTTTTGTGAATTGATACTTGTTTTAGGATTGTTATTAGTGTTATATTTTAACATTTAATAGTGATGTTGCCAATAAATAATTTGAATGTGTTAATTGTTAAGGAAGAGGAAAGGCTAAGGCTTTTGAGAAACTTTAACGTTCGTAGGCGCTTACTGAGAGATGAAAGTGATCCCTTTGTCCAATTAACAGATTTTCAATTTAAAGGATTGTATCGGCTAACAAAAGATATAGCCCGATATATTCTCAATGGAATTATACAGAATATGTTATTACAAAATAATCCAGTGGCAGTTCCAATTGCATCAAAATTTTTTGGTACCCTCCAGTTTCTTGCCATTGGGAGCTACCAAAAGACTATAGGGCAAAATTTTCAGGTTGCAGTGTCTCAGCAACATATGTCAAAGGCAATTTTTGAAGTAATTCAAGCCATAATTAACACTTATGCACATGATAAAATCAAATTTCCTAATAGCAATGAAATAAAAAATAATATAAAAACTAGATTTATGGAAGCTACTAACTTTCCTGGAGTAATTGGAGCTGTTGATGGAACGCATGTTGCTATTATAAATCCAAATGAAGAACATAAATATTTTAATAGGAAGGGATACAATTCAAAAAATGTTCAAATTGTATGAGAAATTTATGCATTTTATAAGTATATTTTTATAACTATTACTCTTTTTAGATATGTGACTATGATTTAACAATTTTAAGCATTAATGCAAGATTTGGTGGAGCAGCACATGATTCTTTTATCTGGTCGCAGTCAACCGTTCGGACTGAGCTAGAAAGATGCTTTATAGCTGGTAGGTTTATCTGATGCATATTATTACACCAAAACACCTTTTATTGTATTTCTTTTTAATTTTAATATTCATTAAATATGTTTTTCTTGTAGGTGACCGAAATACTTGGTTGTTAGGGGACTCTGGATATCCATTACAACCATGGTTATTAACGCCAATACTTAATGCAGCCCCTGATACACCTGAGTTAAGGTATACAGAAAGGCACATGACGGCTCGTAATTGTGTAGAACGTTGCATTGGTGTACTAAAAGGAAGATTTAGGTGTTTACTTGTGGAGAGAAAATTAAGATATACCCCATTCAAGGTGGCTCAAATAATTCATTCATGTACCATTTTACACAACATTTGTACTGCTGCTGGTTTGGATATCGATTTTGATATTCCAAGAGAAGAAAATGGTGGATATATTAATTATATTAGAAGAGAAGGAGATTTCCATCAAGAGAGCATGCTGAATCAAAGGACTATTATTGACAATTATTTCAGATAATTTTTAAATAAAAATAAAGTAATCGATACGTGAATTTTATTGTAACTAACAAGTAATATACAATATACAAAATTAACCTTACATAACTAAAAAAAAAAAAAAAATAGAAAATTCCTAAATAAAAATATACATTAGAAAACAAAATTATTTGTTCATGTTTGCTGCTATTATTTTTAGCGAATCCGCTATACTTTCAATATTTGAATTAATATTGCAGAGCACGTTTAACGTTTCCCTGTTCATTTCGAGTAATTCATTTGAAATGCGTACATTTGAATTTTCTCTAACCCGTTTTCTTTTTAAGGGAGTTGGAACTTTTATTATAATCATGATCATTTTCTTGAGCATATTCTACCGCGTGATGTTCTTGGGCATATTCTACAGTGTGTTTCTCTTCCTCACCTATTTCATGGCCAAATTCTATTACTCCCCTATCACCTTCTACGGCAACATTACCCATTAAACTAAGAAGCCTCTTCTCACAATCTGTGAGGGGTAATGCCGTAGAAAGTCCACCTCCAGTTCCTTCTTGAGCCATTCTTAATTTTGCGGCTTTGGCTTTTGTTTTTGATTTCCAATCAGTCAAAGCCTAAAAAAATATTTTATATTAGGTAAATGTTAAAGAAAAGATCATACTAAAAACTTACCCTTCTCCATTCTGCTGTGGTTTTTTTCCCCAAAGCCCAAACCATTCAATCTATTTGCCAACGTTTGCCACATGGCGTGGCCTTTGGCTTTGCCAGCAATCCTATTAAATTTATTAGTTATTAATTCCGGAGTATTTTCGGCCATCGTTAATAACAAATCCCAATGATCTGTTCTTACTTTCATCTTAATTTTATCTTTTATCGAATATCAATAAAATATGAGTCGAGCGTCGAGTCGTGAAACGTGATTATAAAATATAACCTCAATTCAATTCCCTTTCCTTTGATAATAATATATGGATCTCTTTCTACCCCAAGACTCAAATTACAAAGCGATATATATCTCTCTCTAATACGACACGTCTAAGGGTGTTGAATAGAAGCGACGTGTCAGCCAAGAATAAATTGACACAAAGCGACAAATGACACCTCGAAATGCAACACAGAGTGCGACTCGTGTCGTTTCTAGGCGATTATTGATATCAACATGACACAGAGTTTACCTGCAGCAGACGAATTCGGTTTTTGCACAATTCCGGAGTGGGAGAAACCACCAGTGCCACTATTTACAAGTAGATAGAGAAATAAAAAATGACCTTTTGACACTTGGCGAATAGACCTAAATAATTTACATGAAATTGCGTGTTCAAATCCGAATTTGAATTTCGGTAAATACGGAAATATTTTAAAATACAAGGGCTCTCACAAATGTTTAAAATCGGGAATTTCTAGGAAACGTTCTCAGGCGAAAATTAATTAAAATATAGATTTTACAATTAATTAAAAATAAAATTTAATGATTACGTCACATCTGTCCAAAAAAAGATCCTAGTTACGATCTCATTACATGAGAAGTACTGGAAATACTTCCAAGAAAAGTCAATATCTATTTGATAATTGCATGTTTTATACTGAAACCTGGTCAACCATCGCGACTTCTAAATCATATAGACCTATTTCTCTGTTGCCATTAATATCAAAATTCTTTGAGAAGCTGCTGTCAAATAGACTCAACGTATCATATAGAGAGAAAAAAATAATCTAATAAAAGAGCATCAATACGAATTCAGAAAATTCCACATGACTACAGATCTAATAAAGAAAGCCTATCAATAAAAGAAGTCAGCTTTGTTTGCATTGAATTACATCAAAAGATGAATAGAGATAGAAAATAATTTTAACTTTGATTTTGTTTCCTAAGGAGAAAGTAATTTTGGACCGGTTTCGTCCTTATTAGGACTCTTCAGAAGGAAATAGACAATCTCGACTCCAGTTTTAAATGGAATCTGAACTTGGTCAAATTTGAGAATTGAGATTTATTTCTTTTGCTAGGAATTAATTTAGAAGAAAAGAAAAGAGTTTGATGAGAAATATAAAAAAATGTACTGGTTAATTGGCAAATTAAAATTATCAGTACATAACAAATTATTGTTCATCGACAAGAAAGTTTTAAAGCCTGTATGGACTTATGATGTACAGCTTTAGGGTTGTGGCAAAACCAACTGTTGTGGATGTCATCCAGATATTTAACCCCTTCATCTATATCGAAAGTAGCAAAAAAATGCTTGCAAAAGGATTTTTTTATTGTTATAGACGTCTAGAAGCATATTACGAAAACTCCATCGATAAGCAAGTTTACTTTGATTATAGAACATCTCCCACCACCACATGGACATAGTACATGTTGTTCACCCCTCCCTCCCCTGTATTCAACTACAAATACGACGTGCCACTGTTTGCAGTCAGATGAGGGACTATAACGGCCGTTATTATCCGAAAAATTTAATAACCCGCCATTAGATCCCGAATAATAGCCATTTACTCAACGTTTCTAACAATATTAAGAAACCGTCACTACAACCGACCCTCTTGCATGCGAGTCCCAAGCGGAATTCTTTTATTAGAAAACGGGAAAAGTTTATTATGCCAAACATCACATAACGAGATGAAAAGTTTCTGCGAAACTTTTCGGTTCTGTTCATTTTGTACCCCATAACAGCGAGATTTGTTTATTGCCGCGGTTTTTCGTCTGAGAGGATTTCTTCAAAGTTAGATGGATGATTTAATGAATTTTTTTCTGTGACCTAGTTAGGTTACGGTATAAATATTGACATGGGATTTTTACAAATAAAGATTTTTTTGTCAGCATTAAGATGTTTTCGACTAAAATGTCCACAACTTTTTTTGCATCTTTTGTAATTTGGTTTAAATGTATAAAATACATAAGAATCGTATGGGGTGAACCACAAAAAATGTTTCTAAACTAGGCATTGGAAATATTAACGCACGTTGGAGCGTGTCAGTTTGGATTTAATTCAGAGCTGTGCGTAGTTATTACGGACATGATTCGTATCTTTGTCTCTATCGGTCAGATCGGTCTTGGCCTTTTTTAGAAAAAACAATTGTCGATAACTCTTTATTATTTTTTCCCTGACAAAACACATAGCGTTTGCTAATGTCAAAGTGAAAACTACAGAGTTAGCATTAGCATGTGTAGGAAACGACTAATATCAACGTAGCCAGTCAGTCGCGTGGGAATATTTCTCGTTGTGTGCCTATTCTCATCTCACAGTATTCCGTTAGTGTTGTGTGATGAGAATAGACACACAACGAGAAATATCCTCACGCGGCTGACTAGCTACGTTGATATTATTCGGTACCTGCTTGCACTAAAACTAACTCTCTGTAGTTTTCATGTTAACATTAGTAAAGCGTATTGGAAAGTGTTCAATAGCTGACACTATAAAACTTTGTAAATAAATAAAGGTGGTAGAGACTCTGGAAGTATATAAAACACTTGTGTCATAACAAAAATATGGATTCTTATATAAAAGTAATAACATTATCCTAAAATCATGAAACAAATGCTGAATTAATAAAAAAATATACAGGAATAGAAGAAACTATGATTAGCAACCCACTGAATAATTTATTGATGAAGATCTAGTAAATGAGACTGAATGGATCCGCGTGAAAAACAGGAAAAAAAGAAAAATGGATACCTCATTGATACTTTCACAACCACAACAACAAAATAAAGGCACTACAATGGAAAAACCTGTAAAAATTAAGGCACCATGCACCACCTATCATGGTGGATAACGTCCAAAACTTTAATAATGATGAGACAAATCCCAAACTCCCAAATTAGAGTCATCAACGACAATAATGTTAAAATTAACGTTCCGGTAGAACCAGAATATAGAATGCTTTCTGGAGCATTAACAGAACAAGAGTACACTTGGTACTCGTGTGAGGACAAACAGAATAAACCAACTTTAAGTAATGGCGTATAAACTGCACCACTCTTCCGAACCGGAAAATATAATTAGTTATTTGAAAAAGCGTGATTTTAACATTATATCTGCTACTCCAAAACTAAAATATAGGTCTAAACAATCTTTGAATATGTTTATTCTTACATTCCAACACGACGAAAGTGTTGAGAAAATATATAAAATCAGAAAAATTATGGAAGTCTATGTAGAAATTATACCTTTCAGAAAATCCAAGCTAGTTACAGTAAATTGTGCAAAACCGAAAGATGCTCCACCTAAATGCGTTCACTGCAGCAAAGGACATCCTGCTAGCTACATGGGATGTAACCAAGAAAATACAAAAAACCAAAAACAACACAACAAAAAACCAAACTTACCTAAACAGCCTCAACGAGTAATCCAACATAAGCCTGTTAATAGAATCAATTTAATAGACAAATCTAGATCATTCAGTCAGACGGTATCTGGTAAAAAAGAAGAAATAGATAACAATCGTGATTCGTCCATTACCTAAGAGACAATATAATGAGTAATAGCCTAATAATAATGGAATGGAATGCTGCAGTACCAACAAGAATTGCAATCAATCCTAGACATAGAAAACATAGACATATGCTTAATTTCAGAGACTCACTTTTGCAAAGAGTCCTTTATTAAATTTAAGAGATATAATATTTATCATACCATTCGTTCCCAAAACGCGGCAACAGCAGGAGGTAGCGTAGTAATAATTAGAGAAGCAATTAAGCATCATCAAGAAGCGGGATACAGCAATGAAGAATTTCAATCTACTTCAGTAATGATAAAATCTAAAACTTATGATGTTGTGGTCACTTCTGTATATTGTCTTCCAAGACATACCGTTAAAAAAGACTTCCTTAATAGTCAAGGACCTAAATTTATCATTGGAAGCGACTTCACCCATTGGGGCTACAGACTAACAACAACTAAGGGTAAACTAAAAGAAGCAACTTATTGGCCCACAGATAGAAATACAATAACCGACATAATGCTATTTGTTATACGAAATATTTCAGCAAACTATATCCAAGTTGATGAGGCATAGGACATGAATTCAGATCATTCGCTCATTCTTCTCACTCTTAGTGACATCATTAATAAGTAATACTGTTTATTTCTTGATAATATTGTAATATGTCTGGCGTTAATTTGTAATTAAATTCCAGGTGGATAGATAACTGGTGTGAAACAACTATTTTTTAAACATTTCCAAAAATAAAAAAATTAATTGATACAAACAATGTGTAATTCCAGCAACACAAAAGGAATTTCTGAACAATATTAAACAAATCTAAATTGACTTTCAAAAATTAAACCTATAACTAACAAAAAGTAGAAATATAATTTCTATTTAGATCTTTTGTAATGACATTAATAAATCACCGCTAATCGCAGCCAAAGAGACTTGCGGTTTATTCAACGATAAGATATTAAAATTAATTTCTAGAAAAGGCCCGACATCGACTGACCAAATAAAACTCCCACTTCGCGAAATTTTTCCTTCTCAGGAATTATGCGTGCGGCGTTAATTAAATTTTAAATTATTTTAATACCAATTTTATACAGGATGTCACACAATGTAACAAAAAAAAACACATCTCAATGTAGGAGATGTTCAAAATGCTCGCCGCAAACCAAAGGTATACTAGCGAGTAGAACTTTAGTTTTTAAGATTACAACTCTAGTTAAGTTATTACTCATTGATCAAATCTTGATCAGATTGTAATATTAATAAACGCCCCCTTATGGAGCGTGTTTTTTACAAAAAAAATTCTAAATACATGACTTTCCTGTCTTACCTAAATGTATTATTGGCTTTTCCCGGTTATTCTGTACAACCTATTGTATCATCCCTGTAAATGTTTAGAGGATAAACTAAACACATACATTTTCCACACACATCTTACTCGAAACATTTTTTTATATATTCATTGCCAACGAAAATAATACAAAATAAAAAATTTACACTTTACCTCAATTTTTTCCTTTACGGTCCATTCTAGAGAAATC